TGGTCTCGGGATCGACAGCTGATTTGGGACGTGACGATTAGAGACGCCCACGCCGCTTGTTATCGGCGGATTTCTCGAAATGCTAGTGCTGCGGTGGCAAGAGGAGAGGCCGACAAGAAAACCAAGTATGAGACGTTGCTTGGCGAGTACAATCTTGCTCCGTTCGTGATCGATACTGCGGGAGTCTGGGGTGAAGATGCTTTGAAACTGTTGGAGGGATATCGGCACACGTATAGTCGCCAGGGGGGGGAGACAAACGTGCGATGTCGTTCATCCGTCAGCGCATTGCGATGGAGGTTCAACGCGGCAACGCGAGGGTGATCTCGGGCGGACTGGCCCAAAGTGTTGCCCTCAGAGAGCTCATCCTCCTGAGTGGCTGATTATTATTTGTTAGAACATTCCCTGTTTTCTTGTTAGATTCCCTACAATAAAAAGAAGTCCATCAATCCACGGCGGTTCACGGCCTCACGATTCAACCCGCCAAAAGCGAACTCTTCGTTCAGGGCACTTCTGCGGTCGAGCTGCATCGCGCGCACCGTCTTTTCTCCGAGTGCCTACCTGGCTGCCGTCTGCTCCCTGACAAGAGCCATGTTGAGCTGCTGGGCGCCCCCCTGTTCGAATCCGGTCTGCCAAAGGCGCTCATGAGCAAGTCCGACGCATATGACGTCATATTCCGCAGACTATCCTTCGTGGGCAGTCATGTGGCGACTGACATCTTGCAGCGATCGGCCGGAGTGCCGGAGCTATCTACCTGCTGCGAGCTAGTCTGGCCTTCGTGGCCAAGGAGGATCTCCGGCGAATAGACGAACAGTTTGCAATTTGAGAGCGTCCTGAGAACTTCCCTATCAAGGGATGCTCTCATTCAGCTCACCCTCTCGGCACTCTCGGGTGGAATGGGCATTCCAACGCCATCGGACAAAGCCGACCGAAAACTCATGTCCGACTTCGCTGTGAGAGTACTGCCAGTCGATTAGAGGATACGATGTCCCGCAGCCCTCGAGCTTCTGCTGATTATGATGCAACACCCCGAGATGACCCACGAGTTTGAAGTTCTGACAGAATACGCAGACAAACCTCTATTCACCGAAGAAGAAGGAAACGAACGGATATGAGGATTCGATCAGGCCGTTTGATCGCCGTAGTCAACCTGGCGACCTCTACGCCCGAAGGATCTGGCGGATCTGAGTGAACGCCCACCGTCCGGACAACTCCACCCGTAGAGATCAATGTGTGAGCTTTGGCCTTGCAGACAATCGACGCGGTTTTATACATGCAGCGCCAAGACTGTAGACCGCTCTTCAAGGCGTAAGCCTTCACGTACAGGTGGCCCTCGTGCGCTAATTTACTGTTGCCTCTCTGACTGATTATTCCGGAACTCGACGCTATGACCTATGGGACTAATCTTGAGAGTAGGAAAGAAAGAGACCGTCTTTGAGATTCAGCGATACACGGATTTATTCCCCGTCCGCTCGTGATCCTTCCCTGACCTGCGTGTGAGTCCTTTAGTCCATTGAACCAGCTTCAGAGGTTCAATCGCTCACTTGGAAGCGGAAGAATTCTGGTTGGTCCAGCGAGAGTGTTTGGTACAAACGTAGTAACGTAACCGGATGCGTTCCCGGGAAAGGGGCAGCGGGGAGTCTGAAATCGGAAAAATGCGCTGAACTCAAAAACGAGAAGAGAAATCTATAATTTTCGTTTCATTTCCATAACCCGATCGATACCTTTCCCGCCGCTGTGTCTCCTGAATAGTATTCAAAGATCC